AGCATACAATAAGAAGGTGGCAGCATTTTAAAGACGGTATCATCATGAAATGAAATATAGCAGCATGTAATAAGAAGGTAACAGCATTTAATAAGAAGGTAGCAGCAAGTTATAAAAAGTTAGCAGCATGCAATAAGAGGTTAGCTGCATGCATAAGAATGTGGCAGCATGCAACAAGAAGGTAGCAGCATATAATAAAAAAGGTAGAAGCCTGTTTGTTTTACTACAAAGCAGGACTGACGCGCATTAACCATCGACATACAAACATCGAACTGCAATGGAGAATCGACTTTTGAAATTTTAATAATAATTGTCATGAACAATTTTACACTACACTATAATCTAACCTGTATTATATCACAGTATTCTGACAGGGAGAGTAATATATATTTCAGACAATAGTTATAACCCCTAAACTACTAAGATTCATTTCCATTATTCACCACAATACGCAACCCTGTATACCAATACAGACAAAACTTTGAAATGATCTGAACACCGTCTTCAAATAGTACAAGATAAAAAAACCCTAATCAACCTCTGTTTAATCAGGGTTCAATAGTTCTGATCCCGACCTATCACGTCCTAAATGGACAGCTTGTCTTCGAAGCCTGTGGATAATTCCCTCGACTTGAAACGATATCAACAAAATTCACAGAAATCTTACTGGATAAATGCCCATTTGTCGTCTTAAGAGGAAATAACGTAACGAATAACATTAGATGTAGAGGAATGAATATAACTGCATCTTGCTCCCATAAAACATTTATCTTTATTGTAACACAAGCTTTTACTCATCTCTGACGATTATGTAACAAAAAACTGAATGTGTGAATAACGTTATACAATTAGTTAACATTATTTTTAAGAGCGATTCTATGTAAATACATGTTCCATTGACTCGTCGGGTTGAATATTTACAAAGCTATGCAGAATTAGTGGAAGTAGAAACCCTAGGGAGAAATACCACTAGAATCAGCTAGCAAATCAATGCTTTGTCAAACAAATTAACTAAAGTACGATCTCGCCTTTCCTGTGTGCAATCAATTATTCAGAAAAGCCAAATCTCCAGTTTAAACCCAGTGAATATGCTAAGAGAATTGATCTCGTGTAATGTTTCCTTAAGCAGGGAAAATGACAACTCGATTCTACCGTAAATTTCATTCTCAGATCTGCGTGAGTTTGTAAAGGAAATTAGGGTATACGATAAATCAATTTTCAGGCTTTGATAACGTCTGGCTTTGGTACACAACAAAATATTATAATACAATGATTAAAAGAGCTCAAAGAGAAACCGTTAATTTGGATGGTATCTTGGCAATAAACATATGCATGTATTTCTACGAGTTTTAACATTATAGTTTATTGAAATAGCAATGATATATAAGTGAGGCATTTTATATGATAAATAAGAGAGATATTTTTGTGTAATAATATTTTAAAAAAGATTACACAGGTATGGTACTTTATTTAAAGATACATTATGGGAGATTCGATAACGAGTTGACAGTTCTCACTATAATAATTAAAAACTAGATAACGTAAAGGCAATTTGCTGAAAATTTCATTCATATTGATCCACCATGAACCGAGAACTAAGCGAATAAAATTTCTGCCTAGCCTCGGTCATCATTACTAAAGTCAGTACGTTAAACAGCATAGTCTCGATTATCCATTTAATCGTTTAATCGAGGAAAGTTATGCAGTAAATCGGATCACAATCCACTCAAGATCGCAGGCTAGCGATGCCATCTAGAGTTGATTATGGTCTGGATAAGTCAACTAATGTCTAATTAATAATTTAGATAACATTTCAGGCCTAAAGAAAGACCTGCAATAGACAGATTTAGCTCTTGCATAATGTATGTTTAACCTACGCCCGAAAATCTAGACAAAAGATGTGTTTTACTCATAGAAACATCATTGGTCAATATATTTCTTAAACTACTAAGATTCTGGTTACAATCTAATGGACTTTGAGTTTAACTCGGATATATCATATTGTAATACCATCTTAATATTTATATTTTTGTACAATTAATAAACGTGTCATCATCCAGTTTATTATGGAATAAAACAATCTAAAATTGTCAACAATGCAACTTCACGACATAAAAAGAACTGGCTCGTCAGTAAAAAGAAGATCCGGGAGATAAATCCTAGTTGTACCATTGAAATGGTAAGGGGGTTTTCGCTCTAAAACTCTGAAAAGACGTTTCCTTTTTTACCCAGTGAACAGTCTTTGCAAATTTGACCAGTTGAAGAGTTTTCACACAAAAAAGTCAAATGAACAAAGCTAAGTAATAAACAGTAACATTATTGGTCAATATATTTCTTAAACTACTAGATTCTGGTTACAATCTACTTGATTATATTAACCGCAAAACACGCAAAAATAGTTTTCTAGTTAATACAAAACAAAATCACTCATTGATAAGTCGTTAATAACTATTTAGTTGGAGTAGTAAGGAATACATATGTAGATGAAATCGATCAGATATGTTTTTATTACAGTGGTTTACAAGAGTTACCAAGGCACTGATCCCAAAGCTATAATTAAACAATATGCCAATTTATTTAGACCAGAAGCATAACACATGTGTTTACGGATACCCGACCAAAATCGCCGACCCTAAACGGTTTTCCTCATTTCCCAACGCGATCCAACACGGATATTTCGATATTTACAACAGCCATAATCTTGATTATTTTTCGGAACCTATCAATAATTAACCAAAAATAATAAACACCTTACCGTATTTATTTCAAACGGCATGACAAAGTCTAGCGAATGCATGTATTCACTGCATAAGTATATGCTGAGTATCCGCCTAGTCATATTCAGGCGACCACAGTATACTAATGGTACCACGATTTATACCGTGACTCGATTTCCAAGTTTATATAATCATTTAAAACACTCAAAGCAATGCTAAAAATAAAGTAATTGTATAGTATACTGCAACATTCGACAATATCAACTAATTACGTCACAGTATTTCATACATGATAGATTAAATATAAACGAGGACCTGTCCTAGACACGATGTATGTGTGGTTGGGTGTGTTTTGATATATATTTTTTTAAAAAAATAACCTGACTTACAGACCAGTATTTTTCTCTTTTAGCCTTATCGAACACAGACAAATAATTCTGGCCAAACGATGTCACTTAAGAGAATTGGACTAATATCGGTTTGTTTGTCTACTCAGAGAGCCACTTACTATAACAGTCCCTGATACTGAATAAAACCACACCATAGAATTTGCTAGCCCCAATTTGCCAAAAGTAAATAATAAACTGAAACTCATTTCCATACTTAAAGACATGGTACCGGATTTAACTGTGTATCCGAAACAATAGTGCGTTTAAAATTGTGACAAACACCACATACCATAACTTTTACTTCACATACAGAACTTGTCTAAAGATGGTCTGCAAGATGAAAACATCTTATGCCCACCGGAAACTTTAATCGTAATTTTAAAATTACGAAACAAATGACGAATTTACAAATTTAATGACTATCTGATACTAAATTTTGCCAATATAGCGATAAAGGTTTTGAGGAGACTATCAATGAAAATCAATAAAGAATTCTCCTGAGATGGGGGATGATAATTAGAGCAATCGCTAGCTTAATCAAGAGGCTTTTTCCTTTTACCAATATTGATAACCTATTCCAGAATCATATCAAGGTCGGGCGGAAAAGGAAGTGTGTGTGTGTGTGTGGGGGGGGGGGGGGCTTTAACTTCACAGTGGCCATGTGCACTAAACGGTTATAGGAATAGGCTTGCGTAAATTAGGTACGCTCGTATACCTACTTTTCCTATACCACTTAATTATACAATTATTTACTGAAGACATTCATTCCTTTCTACTCCCTTCCTGCTGCCTACATATGAAATTTTTTGGAATTGTATTTATAAAACCTTTGATATAATCCTAAATATGCATAATGTCTTATTAATAAACAGCCCTATTCAATTACAAGCTTTTGGAAAAAAACGAGCATGCTTAGAAGTAGATTTAGAATCCTTGGGATATTATGTAAACACCACTGAGAGTTTTTTATCAGCTCTCCCAAACATTTAAATCTTCGGAGTTTTGGGGAATTTTCATACAGATCGCGATCCTGACATATGACATACATACATTATATATCCATATCAAGTATCAACCAAAATGCATCGTCGACCTTTGTCAAACTTACTAACAGAAAGTTTTGTACAAAACAATATACATTTACAAGACGCATTTTTTTCACACGGAATCCCACCCTGGCTTAGCTTTTCGAAAGCTGAATTCAAAGACGCATCTCCCACTTTATTTCGACTTATCTATTCAGTTGTGCACAAAACAAAAGATCTATTACATATCAATGTATTTATTCTAGCTTTTCGTCAAAATGCGGTATCGACAAGTTCTATTGTTTTGGACACAACTCCAAAAGTCTCTGGGGAATATTTGAAAATCGAACTGACGTATTTCAACGTATTTCACCATTAAAAATCAAATAACCATAAAAGGAGTCAGACCTTCGATCTATATGTACTATAACCCATCTATGTTATACGTATCCAAACGTACATTCATATCAACAATATATATACTCAGCCTAGTTCATGCGTCGAAGGAAATGTTACAAGAAAAGACATGTAAATCGAATCCTGAAAGTAGAAATTATCGCTTTGAACTCATTATCTTAGACACAGTTCACAAGAAAGAATGCGAGGAGATAACTATCAGGGTCCAGACAAAAACAATACCCATAAATCAACTGACAAACCTTCCAACCTTTTTACGATAATAACACGAGAAACCGTTCATTATTCAACTGTAATGAGGCGTCGACTTGTGTACACATTATTAATACTTTACACACGTCTCATTTAAACCTAGCGATAAATATCTTTATAAAATATCGATAAATTAAGATGGCGTGACACAATTCAGTTTATGTAAACATGTTTATATATAAACTAATTTAATAACTTACCCAACAAAATTCAACTCAATTAAAGAACATGCATACACTTGTATTTTTTTCTTTTTTAGTTCTTCGCGCACAACAGGAAACGTTCTCTGGAATTTTATCAACGCACGAGTAACTCAGCACATGATTAGGAAATCGACTGCCACACAGCAATATATCTTTTCAAATCCCGCAGCTTTGGTGGTAATTTTTAATATGGGTCTGTTTAGCAGCAGTAGGCTTATATTAGACGTGGCTTGAATCGACTAAAAATAACAGAAATTCCAATGCCTGTTTCCATCGAGGCCGCCATAAAATCGATACCCAGCAAATATGAATTAATGACAATGCATAGCACGCACTTGGCTTAGAGAACTAGATACAGTATGATGTTACAGAGAAAGGATCTCTGACTGAGATATATGATTGCGTGATACTAAGAGAATGCACACGACAGACTTAACAGATGATCACATACCATGCTTGTTTGATCTCACTATGGTGATGAGTATATTAAAAGGAACCAAACATCACATCAAATATAGGTTTTATTAATAAAAAAAAACTTGAATGATCACATCATGATTAGGTTAGATGTTACTAATCAAACACGTCATTCAAGAGTGCTGATGACTTTTAAAACTTTTATTTATATTTAATCACTAACTAAATATGATTAATATATATTTTATACGCCCATTATGTTAATGTGGTTGCTTAATATTGTCGTTTGGAGATTTTCATAGATATACCCCTTATTAGGATGATCCCTATTGAAATTTAATGTTATTGCGAATGTTATATTAAAATTAACTGAGATACTGACTAGCTACAAAGTTGAATTCAAATAAAATGTCAGTCATTGTCGATTATTCGCAGAGCTTTCCCATGCCCGAGAAAAAAAACAACGTTGAAGTTGAATCTATTAGCCGGATTTACCTTTAGGTTTTGTTCTCGGGCCAAAGTGTCGAATGTTTTTGATACTGTCATAAGTCTTTCTAATTCTTACACGCGCTTTAGGTAGTCTCAAACATTCGTCATCATGCCCGGCTTTGCTCAGTTGTGTTTAAAGTACACATTTTTCTTCCTCTAGCTATGAGGGTGGGGGACTGGGAGAGGCCAAGTGCGTAGAATAGCCAAGGGCCTCACTTCATCTAAATCCGGCATTGGTTAGCTGACAAGATGTCGAAACCAGCCCATGACGTGAAAGGGACACTTTTAATAAATAACTTGTCTATATCTGGGTTTTATATCGTCATCAAAATATGACATAACTAATAATCTCAAATAACAAATGAAATAGCTTTTGGGAGAAGCATTCGTTGGTAAGAATATTAGAGACTACGAACAGAAATTGTTACTCCGATATTGTTGTCTGTATTTCGTTTGCTGCTACGATAAATGTAATGGCTCAGACGATCGGGTAATAAAATAGAATAGAATAACATGACAATGCTCAAGTCGACGTTGTTCTCTTAATAACCCCACTGCCTTAGATTTATGTCTCTTGTAGTCATAGCAACGACGAGAATCGGTATAGAGAACATATTTTATTACGCCTCGTCACTATTAAGAAGGGAACCCCGTAATAATATTTTGTTGGGGTTTTTTTTGTAGGGCCTACTCCAAGAAATTTCCTTTTGTAGATACTTGAATATATACCATTTAAAGCGGTGTTGGTTAGTTTTGAATATTATAGACTGTTGACAGACCACTGACAATAAAACAAAACTTGTGCATTTTCTCATATATAGGTAATCTGTCACGGATGATAAACATGCAAGGTTTGTTTTTCAAAATAAGTTGACCGATCAGTAGGACCGATCAGGATCAATGCGAATAGGAAACGGTATTTGAATTTTAATATAAAAGTTTTTCTTTGTCGTATGTGGGAAGTTTGTCTCAGTCATACTACAACATTTTCAGCAAATGGATCTTTTAATAGATCTACATTCAATGGCACACTGGTTAGTAAGCGTGGAGGGGGGGGGGGGAGGATTTGGGGTGGAGGTCTAATGCGTGGGCCGAAGATCATAAGGCATGTTGCACCAAATTGGGCATGTATTTTCTGAATAAGTTTGAAGTTTGAGCACATACTTTTCAGTTCTCGAGTTTTTCTTTCGATCATATTCAGGCTTTCATATTTTTCAATGATGTTATCCAACATGTCCTTGTACTGCCCACGGCATTGCATACTTCCTTTTCATCTCCAATGTTACGCTGCATAACCTTATTATTCCTGTTAAATCTTGGCTTTTTCATGTTGTTTTTTTTTGTGCTGAACACTTACTGTCATGGGTTTTCATCTCTATCCAGCCCTCCCGTTTCTTCATTTTCGTGCTATTAAAATCATCTGTAACAGTTGTTTGTCGTCCCTTCTCACTTTGTTCAACAGGGCTGGGAATGGGTTCTAGTAATTTATCAACCAAAGCTTTTAAAACAGGATCAACGCGTGGCCTCCTCCTTTAACGATATCTTACTTTGGACTATTTTCTGGACAGTCGAAGGGTTTCTTGTCGAAGTCGGTTATATCTTCTGATTTTTCTACACCACCTATTCATACAAATCGTCGTGTTTAGAATACGGACAATGTGATTAAAACACAGATCCTTTTTCGTTTCGTTTTTATAGTTCAAAATTTCGTTTTACTTGTCTTTACTACACTAGGATCTGGAAAAGTTTCTATCATTGGCGTGTTCTGAATGATGTAAGGGGTTAGTCAAAGAAACGGTCTGTTTTGCACGGAACTGTGGGTAATCCACTTGTAACATCAATACTGATTGATTAATCAAATGTCTGACGTCATAGGGTCAAAAGTCTCTCGTATGACCCCTGACGCGACCTATCGCTACAACCGGTCAGATCTTCATGTAGTGTAGGTCATCGAAAGTATAAAAAAACGAAACGAAATATAGATGTATATTTTAATCAGATTGAGAATAAGGATTGTGGATCTAACTAAAATAGATATGGACGCACATCGTAAAGTAACTTTCCAGTTTAGCATATTTCCAGAAATTATAGATTTTTGCTATTTCTATTACTTGTATAGTATGGTATCACATTGGAAATAGATATTGCACAGTAACCGCTTCTTGTAATTTGCAATTCGGTGTAACCCATAGATTTGCTAACATTACATAATTTATCGGGTAAGATTTACTCATTAAGGTGTCGAACTATGAACTGAACATCCTGAGGTATAGAATGGTGCAGTCTGTAACATCTTCTCTAACATCATTCAATGACTGTCATGTAAATATAAAACATATATCAAAATATGTAGAATCTATTTGTTAAATATTTAAACTATTGTAATCCACATCCCTTCATCTTAAAATTCGAAACGGACTTCTAGAAAGGGCCAATGGAGATATCCTTACACAATTGTTTAAACATTACTTGCAAGGCCAGAACCTTGATAAACACATAGAGAAATGGAGGAAGAGGAGACAGGTTTTGTTTGCTACAAAATCCGCATTTCCTAAAAAAAAGTAGCGTTTAAGATTGGTAGACGTGTCCTTATTAAATTTAGGCTAGAGGCACAAACAGTAGCTAAGTCTCTAACTCAGTATCATCCAAAGTCTTCGACATTGAAAACATGAATTATTTGTCAATTTAAATCAAGATTGATGTTGTGATCTTACCGGGAAAAGACGGACTTCCGATATCCAATATTCAAGACAAAATAAACATTTTGCCATTAGTACACGAATCGTGTACTATAATGCGTTTCGGCGCTATTTGTAACAAAAGGGACTCGAAGAACGGGGCTAGACATATTCCACAAGTCATGTCAAACGGTGGCGCCATCATATCTGAAGAGCATGCGCAATAAATACTATCGGTGTAGACTGGAATAACCAGAGCCTATAGATTGTCATTCGATTGAGACTTCTGTCGTATTTTCCCGAACATTACTGATTAAAAATTACAGTAAAAACAGAAACGATTGAATGTATATCAGTTTTTAAACATTCATATTGCATTATTATATATGCGCTGCACCCATTTGTGTCAATCTGTACCGATTTAGCGCCTTTAAACTGTTTCAGTTACAGACATTTCCCATTTCTTTCTCCATTCGGTTTCTACTGCACAAAATTGTTATAAGTTGTGCAAAGCTGTCTAAATAAACTTTGACAAATACGTGGTTACTTATCTAAGAGAGTCTGTTGGGGACCTAAGGTTAAAACAGAAATAATTTATATTGTTAGGTCGTGTAAATTAACTGTGCTAAAAATAAAATGCGTTAATTTGTTTGAATTGTGAACGTAAAGTTATAACAGAAAATTACTTTTATCATGTCATATTAATTTACACGATTTAAAAGAAATCGTGTAAATTGATATGACATGATCGGTGTCAAAACTAAAATGCGTTAATTTTATGGAATTATATGTGTTGATTTGCTTGTAAGGTGAAACTCAAACTTCGTTACGAAACATATATTATAAGAATACACCCACAGATATAGTCTATTTTGAGATATGATCGATTTTATTTTCTGCAGTCCACAGTGGTATAAAAAAAAAAATAAACTAAAATTAGTAAACAACGGACCTCCGGTTAAATCTTTCGAATAAAGCACATTATTTTAACCAAATTCAACGAGGTTCAAATTTATAACTATGTTAATTGGAATTTTTCGCTTTAGAGTAAATTCCAAGATAGTTTTTGATCAGAAGATGTTTGTAAATCTAGATGAATTTTAAAAAATAATCAGAAAACATTCGTTCACTTACCTTGAATCAAGACGTGAACATCGGATAATAGTGATCTTATCACGGATATAGCAAAAAAAAAAAAAACATCATTGGGTGAGGTTAAATGTAATGTTGGAGTCAATAGTTATGACGTAATATAACACTAGTTCAACTATTTTACTAACTTTTGAACTCAAATACAGTGTTAAGCCAAAAAGGGAGATAATTACAGTTTTATATCCATTTCGTCTATTTATAGCAATTCTCTCTGTCTCCTTTCTCCTCTTTTGCATGACCATTGTAGTTGATATTTTGGTTTAAAATGGACGAAGAGGGTTTTAATTAACATTTTCTGCCAGGTTTTGGTAAATATTCATGATTTTGAAGCGGAAGGATAACAGAGTTATCAGGTCGGCTACGGTGATATGTACGGCAACTAGTTACATGTTTTTATTATGCTTCTTCAAGTTTGTGTATCTCAAAATTTTTGTGGTCATCCTCATACAAATTTTAGTGCAAAGACATGACCATTTGTCCCCCTGTCTTTAGTGATAGGCATTCAGCCCAACGAAAATTTGGGGAAAAGTTGGAGGTGGGCAAAGAGGCCAGAAT